TGCTGGCATTTTGCCAGCAGACATCCCACTAGCAGGCAGTGTCCTGCAGCGGCTAAGCAAGGGCCAAGGTTAAGCGCCTGACTTTGAGTTCCAGCTACTGTGTGACATGGACAAATTGTTACAAATGACAACACTGATTCTGGGTCATGGGATCAAATGGTCAAATCAGCAAACAGTCACTGAGCCCCCGGGCCCCAGATGCTGTTCTGTGCTGGTAAGCCTGACATCTAACCCCAACCCTTGTTCCAACCCAGATCCCAGCCAGAGCCGTGTCTGTGACCGTGACCATCCAGTGGACAGGTTTGTCAGGTGGTGAGCGCTCCGTCACCAGGAGAGTCCAAGCAGGGACACCATGGAGGAAAGACCGTACATAGGTGGGAGGACTGTCTGGGCCCTAAACCCTTGCCTTCTACCCAGGAGAGGAGAGGGCTCCCAGGCCCTCGCTGGGAGGAAGGGTAAATTTCTAGGAAAGGCCCAGATGTAGGGGAGGGGAGGTGAGCCCCGACTGACTTTCCCAGAATGAGGCCAGGAAGGAAAAGGAAGCTGCAGGCCCCTCCCTGCTCTGATTCAATGCCCTCCCCCCCCGAAAAAAAAACGGCCCAGTTGGGATGCTGGGAGCCCCACAGAGTCAGAGTGCAAGTGGACTGGGAACTCAGAGCAAGAAGAATTCAGCCTGATGAATCCTTATGACCAGGGTGAGGGGAAGTCACCAGGGGCCCACAGAGGGCATGAAGGTAGAACCTGGGGTTGGGGGGCAGGTGTTGCAGGGAGGCCTGGCAGTATCTGACATCTGGGGAAGGGGCTTGGGAGGGGCTCAGATGTGGGGAAGAACTCGGCTCCAGTGACTTGTGATTACGGAAGGGGCTTTGGGGAGGGGACAGGCATCAGGTAGCGTTTGAGGGCCCAGAGGTAGAAGAGAGGACTGGGGGCCAGAAGGGGGATGGGAGAGGAGGACCCGACCATCTGGAGGTGATGCTGGGGACCCAGCATAGGTGGGGACAACTGAACCTACAAAAGGGAGGAGGGTGCAGATGTTAAAGTGAGGGCTGGGTAGGAGGCCTACTATCTGCAGAGGGGGCCCGTGAAGGGGAGGTCTCAGTCTGTGGCCCCTAGCCTGTTCCTGTGGGCAGTGACCTGGACTCAAGTCAGGCTCGCTGACTGCTGGAGTATGTGCAGAGTGAGTGACAGACACTGAACTGGACAGAGGGACAGAGGGGCAGACTCAGACGTGCACAGATGCAGAGATGGACAGACAAAGGTCAGAGGAGCAGATGGACGTGCAATGGAGAGTCAGATACAGAGTAGACAGGGACACTGAAAGACAGCAGTGTGCAGGGAAGGTGTGCAGAGGAGTCAGGGGTCCACTGAGACCCTCTGTTCAGTGTAGGCTCAGGACAGGCTTCCAGGACATCATAGCTCTGGGTGATGGTGAGACAGGCAGAGCCAGAGCCCAGTATCACACTGTGCTCCTCCGCCACCCCCACATATCTCCCCCTCCCACAGTGTTCGAGAGCCCTCCCAGGAAGCGATGCTGCAGGCAGGGGACATGGCTCACACTTTTGGGTCTGGTGACTGCCTCGATGTGGGCCGTGCTGCTGACCCTACTTATCCTGTGGCGTGAGGACACCCCCAGCCCTATGTGTCCCCCTCAACCCACTAGGCCCTCCCGTATGCCCTCCCAGACCCCCCTCTCAGACTTGGGGAGCCCAACTTCCCCATCATGTCCCCCACCTCGAACCTGCCAGCCCCTTCCTGCTCTGTCCGCCAACCTTCTAGAGCCCCAGCCCTGCCCAGCATCTCCTGGCTTTTCAGCCCCTCTCCCGTGTGATACCTGATGCCTCCATCCTCTGCTGGTAGGTGAAGCATGGGGTGGGGAGGGCGCACCTGACAAGCCCTCCCTCTCCCCTCCTCCTCTCCAGACTGGGACACTGCACAGAACCTGAAACAGCTGGAAGGAAGTGCCTCCCAGAATGGTATGGAGGGGCTGAGGGTGGGAGTCGGGACACCAGGCCCTCGTCCCCTCCTGCCACTGATCACTGTGGGTCCTGGGGGAAGAGCTGCCCCTCTCTGGGCCTCAGTGCCCCCTCTGAGAACTGAGGGTCAGCCTGTGTTGCCCCCTCCCCTGGAGGCTCGCAGAGGAGGGCTGTGAGAAGTGCCTGATGGGATGTCAACATCTGCAGTTGTTACAGGAGTTACATAACCACTCGGTGCCTCAGTTTCCTCATCTGTAAAATGGGCATCACTTTAGTGCTACGAGGTGGGAGCGAGCTAGGACTTGTGAAGCACTTAGAACAGCACCTGGCTTCCCATAAGCTGTCAGTAAACACCCACAGCTGTTAACTTTTACTTTGCAAGGCGGAGGAGCAGGAGGGGGCAAGTACACACGTTCATTCTCTCCTTGTCTGTACTTTCCGGAGCACTTGTCCCTAAAACTAAAAGGAGCAGCCCATGCACTTGAGGCTAGGGCAAGTGTTCAAGGGCTTGTCTTCGTGGTCCCCAAGGACACTTCTTCTCCCCTGCTGCCCAGTGTCTCAAGTTTCCAAGGACTTGGAAGGACACAAGAGTGATCAGATGGCCCAGAAATCCCAGGGTGAGTGACCTCAATTTGGGGTCTAGAGTGGGGGTGGGCCAGGGACTTGGTGGCCGTCTGGACGCATAGTGCTCTAGACCAACTGTGCCCCCACCATGGACTCCGAAATGAGCAGGTGGCCCTAAAGACCCAGGCTAAGAGGTCAAGGGGACCGATAGGGGCTTACGGGGGAACTCTGAGGACTTTCTTCTTACCGGGCCCTCTCCCCTGCAACCAGCTGCCCAGTTGTTGAAGAAACTAGAGAAAATCCAAGCTGAACAGAAGAGCATGAAGTCTCGTGGTGAGAGAACTGGCGCGGGACATGGGACCAGACTTGGGTGTCCTGGAGCCATGGGGGACCATGAGGCCAGGGGCTAGGCTTGGGAAATTTCTGGCCTTAGGCATCTTCCCTGAGATCTGTCCTGTCCTCCCCACCCCAGAGTCTGAGCAATCCCGGTACCTGGATGGACTTGGAGCTGATCTGAGCAACCTCAAATCCAAGAGTGAGGCTTGGGAGGGGGTGGGGAGAGGGGGCAAGGAGGGGGCCTGTGAGTTGGTCTCTGAGCACTGACCCCCTCCCCCCATTCACCCAAGGCTTGAACGAGAGGCGTGTAGCCTCAGACTCACTGGAGAGACTCCAGGAGGAGGTGGCAAAGCTGAGGATGGAGCTGAAGATGTTGAATGGTGAGTGCATTGCAGGTGCGATGGTGTGTGAGGTACGCTTGTGTGTGTTGGCACACCCCTGTGATAACACATCTGTGTGATGTGTATTGCAGCATGGCAATATGTTTGTGTGAGTTGAGCGTGAGGTGCAGCAGGTTGTGCTTGACTGCTAACCTAAAAGTGGTCGTTTGAACCCACCCAGAGGTGCTGTGGAAGAAAGGCCTGGCAATCTGCTTCTGTAAAGATTTAAAAAACCCTATGGAGCAGTTCTACTCTGTAACACATGGGGTCGCCATGAGTCAAAATCAACTCAACAACAGCTGGTTTGGTTTTTGGTGGTGTGGGGGAGGGTTGGTGGGGCACAAAGGCATTTGTGTGGCCCTGTGTGTTTTGAATGTGCAGGAGAGTGTGTGTGATAACACACCTGGGTATGAATTTATGTGTGTGGCAGGGCAGATGAGGAGCACACAAGAATGACCTTTCTGATTCCCACTGCTTCCTTCCAATGCTTTGGGCAGCTCCCACACTGTCTTCTCCACTGGGTCATAGTATTCCTGCATCTACTATTGTCGAGTTTGCTCATGTGCTCTCCTCTGCCCACTGTTGCTTAGTGGAGAGGAATCAGAAGTCTAGGGAACCAGATGGGGTAACCTCTGCAGTGATGAGGATGATGGGGTTGGTGGCATCTCCCCCAGGCATGGCAGTGATGGAGGTGATGGCAGTTATGAGGGTCATGTGAGTAGTAATAGGCTGCAGAAAGAGCAGAAATTTCATCACTGCACCTTAAACTGGGGCAGGAACCTGGGTTTTAGAGTTCTTCTGTGGCTTCTTGAGCTTCCTGCAGTCCTGCCCCTTGGTTTTTGGTCTTCCTTCTCTGGGAAGCCCCAGCTTCCTCAAATGGGTATGAGAAGAGGAAGGATCTGCACTTGGTGTGAAGGAGTCCTGTCCCTGGGGACATGGTGTGGCTATGGGAATCCCAGTGAGAAACCCCATTGTGGTCCTTCTGGGGAAGGTATAGGGGCTGGATCATGGTGACCTTAACAACAGGTCATCTCCCATTTCCTACCTAATCCCTGAGGACCCCGAAATCTGGCCCCATGGCTTAGGGTTTGAGTCTACTTCTGGAGTTGTCTTTTGCCTGTGTAACATACAGCCAGGACACCTTGCCCCAAGTCAGCCACTAAGGGACATTCTTTTTCTATTGTAATGCTACACCCCTAGAGAGTCATATACTGGTCACTGTTTGATGTGCAAGAAGCACCCAGCTCTGTTCTCCTGAGGGGCTCCCAAACTACTGTGGACCCCAGGCCCTTTAGAAAAATTCGACCAAAGCTATGGAGCCTCCCTATATGTCGTTATAAGAAAATCTATTTTCAATCAAGAGAATCCACCCGATAATAATGGGTAGTGTTGGTTGTTGAGGTGCTGCTGGCCGTGAGGTGCTTGTGGTGATGGTGTTGCTGGTTGAGGTGTTCCTGACAATGGTGGTGTTTGTGGTGATGGTGTTGGTGGTTGAGGTGCTGCTGACTGTGTTCCTGACAATGATGGTGTTTGTGGTGATGGTGTTGATGGTTGAAGTGTTACCGACAGTGGTGGTGCTTTTGGTGATGATGTTGGTGGTTGAGGTGTTTCTGACAATGGTGGTTTGTGGCAATGGTATTAGTGGTTGAGGTACTGCTGACTGTGAGGTGCTTGTGATGATGGTGTTGGTGGTTGAGATGTTACCAACAGTGGTGGCGTTTGTGGTGATGGTGTTGCTGGTTGAGGTGTTAACCAAAAGCGGTGGTTTCTGGTAAATGGTGTTGGTAGTTGAGGTGTTCCCAGCAGTGGTGGTGTTTGTGGTAATGGTGTTGGTGGCTGAGGTGTCACCAACAGTGGTGGTTTGTGGTTATAGTGTTGGTGGTTGAGGTGCTGCTGGCCATGGAGCTGGTGTTGCACATCAACATCAGAGTGCCAGGGAAGAAGACAGCCTGTGAGAGCCTCCGTTAGGCTCTGGGGTAGGTCTGCTTCCAGCCTGGCCCCAGGAGTGACTTCATAAGAGACACTGCCACGCACTCCACCCCCTCTTCCCATGGTGCCCACCACAGCCATCCCTGAGCCTCTCCTCCACCCCAGGCTCCGCGTGCAACACATGCCCCGAGAAGTGGGTTAATTTCCAGAGTAAGTGCTACTACTTTGGTGAGGGATCTCGGATGTGGCTCCAGGCCAAGTACGCCTGCGAAGACCTGCACGGGCGACTGGTCAGCATACACAGCTCAGAGGAGCAGGTGAGCCTGGAGCTGAGGAGGGTGTGGTACGGGGTCGGGGGATGTGAATCCCCACTCCAACCTACTGTCTGGGGGACGGACAGGGAGGGAGGGACCCAAGCATGCCCCCAGTTCTCCATCCCAGTTCTGCCTCCCAGAACTTCCTGAACAGACGTGCCAAGAAGGACTCCTGGATTAGCCTTCAGGACCTGGACATAGAGGGCAAGTTTATCTGGTCGGATGAGAGCCCTGTGGACTATAGGTAAGGAGGGGGCCCCAGGCCCAGGCTCATAGAGGAGGCCCCTGGGATACCAGGGATACAGGTGAGGTGGGAACACCATGGAGGGAGAAGCCCCCTGGATGAGCCCCTGGGGAAGGGGATCAGGACTCAGAGAGGGGTCCCTAGGCTTAAACTCAGATAGGGGGGCCTCTAAGGTGCAAAAGAAAGAGGCTGTGGGGGAGGGAGGGAGCCCCAGAGGGGGCTCAGAGAGGGGGTTCCGTGGCTGGCAGGGAGGGAAGGAGCTCCGAGTACAGACTGGAAGGACAGGTGTCCAAGCTGTAGGTGCAGGGTGGGAAAATTGGGGCAGGGAGCTCTGGGAAGGAGACGACAGGCAAGGTCAGGAAAGAAACCCCAGGTTTAAACTCAGAGAGGGGGAACTGCTCTGCCATGTTGTTGGGTGCCGTTGAAATCGAGTCCAACTGAGAGTGGCCCTATAGGACATAGTAGAATTACCCCCATGGGGTTTTCTAGACTGTAACCTTTACAGGAGCAGATCGCCAGGTCTTTTCTCCTGCTGCTGGGTCAGTTTGAACTGCTAGCCTTTTGGTTAGCAGCCAAGCACTTAACTGTTGTGCCACCGGGGCTCCTTGTTCTGCCATAAGAAGGGAGGAAATTTGGGGGCAGGGGCCCCAGGCCTGGACTTGGGGGAAACTTCTGGACTGCAGCTGAGGGAGATGGTCAGGGTTTGGGTGCCAGGCCAAACGTCTCTGGGGGGACAGGGAAGGTATCTCGAGGGCCCCCCAGGCCCAGACTCTGGAGGGGGTGTCTAGGCTGCAGGGAATGAGGCTGGGGGGAGCACGGGGGTTTCTTTCCTCTCCCTCCTCCCCTGACCTGTAGCCTTTGCCCCAGCAACTGGCGGCCGGGGGAGCCCAATAACCAGGACCCGGGCGAGAACTGCGTGATGATGCTCGGTTCCTCGGGGCAGTGGAATGACGCCTTCTGCCGCAGCCAGCTGGACGGCTGGGTGTGTGAGCAGCTGGCCACATGCTGACTGCCTGTGCCCTCGGCCTCCTGGGCCGGGCCACTCGGACCTACCCCAGGACGTTACCCCTGACAGCCCCCTGCCTATCCAGGCGCACCTCCCTGCGCCCCGCCCCCGCCTTGCCTCCTTTACACCCTCCTGCGACAACAGCCAGGCCCACAGCAGGACACTGAGGACCCCAACCAAGACCTGGACATCTCCGTGGTGTCTGGAGGGCCCTGGTGACATTTTCTCCCGCTCAATCTGGCACCAGGTAGCTGACCCCTCCTGTCACCACCTGATTGAATTGCGTCCACCCAAAATATGTATTAAAGTCCTGTACCTGTGGATTTGGCCCTGTTTGGAAATGGGGTTCTCTCCTGTTAATAAGGTTACATCAGAGCAGGGGGGGCCCTCAACATAACCCCTTCTGACTTATATAAAGAGCAGGGCAGACAGAGACATACACAGCGGGCAGAGATGCCGTGTGAGGACCTGTCTGTTAGTAAAGGAATGCCAGGTGCCGCGGGCAGACACCAGAAACTAGGAGAGAAGCCCCCAGAAGGAACTCAAACGGCTGAGCCCCTGACTTGGACTTTCAGCCTTCAGAACTTTCTCTAAATCCATCCACTTGTGACATTTCTGTTACAGCCAAATCAAAAACCAAACCAGTTGCCACTGAGTTGCTTCTGACTCATGGTGATCCCATGTGTGCCAGAGTAGAACTGTGCTCCATAGGGTTTTCAGTGACTGATTTTTCAGAAGTGGATCACCAGGCCTTTCTTCCGAGGCACCTCTGGGTAGACTCGAACCTCCAGCCTTTCAGTTAGTAGCCGCGTGCAGCAGTAGGTAACTAAGACAATGCCCCAGATGGCCTGTCCCTCCAAGTACTCATTGGGAGAACCCCCACTGGCCAAGCCTGAAGGCTAGAAGTGCCCTCCCCACTGGGGTGCAGCACCTGCCAGCCCAGCCTTCCGGGGAGCCCCCCTTCAGACCTCTATATGCACCCTCTATGACGCCCACCTCCTCTCCGTTCCCCTCCCCAGAGGCAGCCCCTCAGGGAGCACCACAGGGTAGAGACTGGGCTCAGACAGAGCTCCCCACTCCCCCTGCCCTGGCTGCCCACATCCACTAAACGGGGCGATGGCCCCTCACACCCGCCCCCTCCTCAGAGGTCTCCAGGCATGAACCGTGGGGCTGGGAATGTCAGAGCTGGCTGCCTGAGACAACCTGAGGAAGGGGGCAACTGAGGTGGCATTCACCCTAATTTTTCCTACCTCGTTACAAGAAGCACTTACTAGGTAGGGCCTGGAGATTAAGACTCTGGGGTCCAATGGGCCAGAGAACATTCTAGATCCCCCAAGTATCTTGAGGGCAAAGGAGTGGACCCTCTGAGTCTAGGACATGGGCACCCAGCTCACAGGGTTGCAGGGGAGGTGCTGAGTTGACACGTGGGAAGAACAGGGCCTGGTACACTGTAGGCACTCAGCAAGTGCTGGCTGGCTAGAGAGGGAGGGGCATCCAGGGGCAGATGGGAAGCGGCCTGGTCACGCACAGAGGGTCTGCGAGGCTGAGGTGGCACCAGTCCCAGGCTGGGCCAAAGTCAGCCATGTATCTGAGGCTGGGGAAGGAGGTCAGGATGGCAGGACCCCTCATCAGACTCCTTGCCTGCCACCCCTCACTCCTGCCTAGAAAAGAAGGTGCCAGATACGGTGCCGTTGATTCTCAAGTTCACTCAGGAAGGAGGGATCCATAGGAGAGACCCACATGGGACCCCCGGAGCAGGGCCAAGTTGTTAGCCATGCCCTGGGGGGCTGGGGAGAGCACTGTAGTGGGCTGGGGTCCTGAGGGCTGGCCACAACGATTCAGGCGGGGTTTCAGGCCGGGTAGGATCAGGGCACAGACAAAAGCTGGGCCCTCGGGGTCAGACCTGGGCTAGAACCCCCAGACAACGTGTCAAATCCCCAGGCCTGGACTCCAGGCCAGGGTGTAACTGCCACATGGGGCCACAGCTCCACCCTACCACCTGCTCAGGCCAATACTGGGGTCCTCCTTGGGGCCTCCCTTTCTCTCACCGCCACCTCCAAACCCATAAGATCCCTCAGGCTCTGCCAGCAAAACATATTCAGAAATCTGCCCACTTCTCACCCCTTCCTGCCACCTAGGCGCTGCCCCGGTGTTGCTCCCCTGGACTGCTGCAGCCGCCTCCTTCCACTTCACTTCACTGCTCCAACCCTTCCAGAAGTTTCCTCCCCACTCAGAGAAAAAGCCAGTCCTAAAAGGCCTGCTGGGATGGCAGCACCCCTCCCAGGCACCTTGCTTCCCCACCTTCATCTCCCACCTCCCCCACCAGCAGCCTCCTCACTGTTCCTTGAACCTGCAGGTGGCTCCCACTTCAGGGCCTTTGCACTGGCTGTTCCCCTAGCCTAGAACACTGTTTGTGTTCTTAGCTGCCCTGAAGTCAGCCTCTGGCTCCAAGCACAATACCTAGTCCTATGCCAGCCTCATGATCCATTGCGGATGGGACCATTGTGATCCATAGTGTTTTCACTGGCTGATTTCCAGAAGTTGATCGCCAGGCCTTTCTTCTTAGTCTGTCCTAGTCTGGAAGCTCTGCTGAAACCTGTTCAGCATCCTAGCAACACGCAAGCCTCCACGGATAGACGGGTAGCGGCTGTGCATGAGGTGCGCTCGCTGGGAATCAAACCTGGGTCTCCTGCATGGAAGATAAAAATTCTAAAAATGACTTAGTGACCTCCACCAATGGCTTTAGTGGATACTTTACCTGCAGCCCAAAGCACCCTAAGTCAGAGCCGCCGCCGAGATGGAAACCTGCCTGACCACAGCCTCCTGTTCTTTCTCCCCATCCTCACTTGCCCCAGCCCAGGGCCCAGCCTCACAATCCTATGGCTGGTTTCAAACCTTCCCCCTTCTCCACCAGCCCCCTGCCTCACCCTCAGCCAAGAAACAGACCCCAGGCCCTCCTCTCCTGGCCTCCAAGCACCCTGCATCCCTTCCTGGGGACCAGCTCCTCTTCACCTCCCTCACCCATGTCCCTCTGCTGTCCACCACTGCCAGGCCTCTGCAGAGCTGACCTTCTGCTCCTTCTTGCTCCTGCAATCTGGCTCCTGCCCTAAAAGGCCCTGGAAACCCCAAGGACCTCTGGCGGATAAACCCAAAGCCAACTCCTACAGTTTCCCAGGAAAACTGGTGACGCAGCAACAGCCCCTCTGACTCTCCCACCCTCTCCTGCTTCCCAGGGCTCCAGCTCCCCCCCATCCTCCGCCCCCCACAGACCACCTCCACCAGGCCTATGGTTTCCTCTTCCTGAACTTGATCCCCAATCCCCAGACCTGGGTACCTGTCACCAGGTGCACCTCCCCCCAGATTCAGGTTGTCACCCTGAACCCCACCCCCAGCCCTCATCCCAGCTTCCCCAGACCTCTCCCCTCTCCCAGCCCTGCCTTCATTCCACAACTACTTCCTGATGGCCTGCTGGGCGCCTCGTGCTGGGTCCTCCATATTTTTCTTTATTCTGATGATGTCCCCTTTGCAGTGTCCTGAAGCCCACCGCTGTTCAGCACTTCTTCCCCTCTTGCCAAGATGACTGAAACTACCCCGACCATGCCCCGCGTGTCCCCGGTGTCCCCATCTGTATGTCCGTGCCACCTCCCATAATGCAGCCTAAACAGCAAATCGGAAAGCCACACCCACCCACCAAACCCTTTGCTGAAGCAGTGAGGGGGGCGCAGCGGAAAGTGCCTGTAGTTCCTTCCCAAAACAGATGCCTTCAGGTCCTGGAGGGAAAGCGGAGCGAGGAAGATCTGAACAAGCTACCCCCAAAGAAGTCTGGGAGGACTCCCCTTGGGGAGGAGTCATCAGCGAGGTGAGGAAGGCCACCTGTTGTGTAATACATGCCCAAGTAGCAGTCGTGTTTTTAAAAATTAAAAATATTTCAAGTGTCTAGATGACTCCAACCCAAGCCCAGCCACTCCCCTTGGAGAACCAGGTTGCTGCAGCACAGGTTTTCCAAGTGTGGTCTCTGGACCATCAGTAGAACTAGTTGGGAAATGCAAATTCACGCACCACCCCAGCCCTGGAGGATCTGAAAGCTGGCCGGGGGGTGAGGGGTGGGGAGGGGGTGCGCCATCTGAGTTTTAAGGAGTCCTCCGGGCCATCTGGACACTCCGGTTTGGGAACTACCGCCTTAAAAGCATTGCTTCTCAAACTAAGGTGCCCAGAGATCAGCCACCCAGGAATCTTGACTCTGACTGGGTAGTCTGAGGTGAGGCCTGAGTGTCTGCACTGTTCACAAGCTCCAGGGTGATGCTGAGGCTGCTGGTCCATGGACCACACTTTGAGTAGCGAGGGTGTACTGTCTAAGGCTGCTTTCAGTGGTGTAGTGGGATAGAGCTTGCAAAGCATAAGCTATTTATTATCTGGTCTTTGGAGTGCCTTGCTGGAGCAATGGTGAACACGGGGATGCTAACCAAAATGTCAGAGGTTTCAGCGCACCCAGAGGCACCCTGGAAGAAAGGCCCAGCGATCTACTTCCGAAAACTCAGCCACTGAAAAACCCTACAGAGCACAGTTCTATTCCAACACACATGTGGTCTCCATGAGTCAGAGTTGACTCCAGGGCAATTGTTTTTTTTTTTTTAATCTGGTCCTTTACAGAAAAATTTTCCAACCTCTGGTCTACAGAAGTGTATCTCAGCTTGACTCCCACCTGCCCCCCACCACCACCACCCAGCCCCCTCGCCTCTCCAGCCTGCAGGCAGCTTCCAACTGTGATTCCAAAATGTGCCAGCATTCCCCTAATCCCCACCCAGCAGCTCCTTCTGCAGCAGCGTTCACCTCTCCACTGTCCCTGGTCCCACCAACCCCCAACCCTATCTCAAAGACCGAGTGGGGCTGGACTCCACCCCTCCCCACTGTACTATGAACATGTCTGGGCCTTGGCGTCCCTCACCAGCCTGGGGCCGGACATGGGTCAAGGTGCTCTAGGCGCATCTCTGAGGTTCCCACACAAGACACGGGACACACTGGGGAAGGGGGCTCCACATCCTTTATCTCCAGCGGGGTCAGCGGCCCTCCAGGGTGCGGTCACGGGCGATGACCGCCTCCTCGAACTTGATCATGAGTGTGGTGCCCTTGTGCCAGTGGGCCGTGACCTTGGCAGGGAAGCCGCTGTGCGTGAGTACCGCCTCCACGATGCCTGCCGTGAAGCTGGCACAGTTGAGTGTGCTGTTCTCCTTGGGCACGGAGATGTAGGTATTGATGAGCGGCTCGCGCTCGATGATGTAGAAGGTGCGTGCGTCGTCGTTAGCCTGCTCCAGCTTGTCCGCCTCCTTGCCAAAAAGTGCCTTCCACACGGCACCCTTGACGAAGAGCAGCGCGCCCAGCACCTTGGTCTCACGCCGGGCACCCTTTTCGCGCGCCACCAGCGCGTCCAGCACGCGCGCGCCCACCTGGCGGCCCAGCGCAGCCAGGCGAGCCTGCAGCTCGGACACCGAGAAGACGCGGCTCTGGCAGTGCTGCACCAGCTCGGAGAAGAGCAGAGCGAAGGCGCTCAGGCTCACTTCAGTGCGCGGCCTCGCCAGCGCGCGCTCCAGCAGCATCGACTTACCGCGCGTGAAGCGCGCCTCCATGCCGCCGCAGCCCTGTGGGACACGAGGAAACGCGGGTGTCAGGGGCCACAGGGAGGGGCCCTGGCGGGGAGGTCAGGCAGAGGAGCCTGGAGGGGGCACTGAAACGCTCCCCCACACACTGTTGGGCGCTACAGTCCTGACTTTCCACCCGAGAAAAGATGGGAAGCAAAGAAAAGGAGACACCCAACCTGCGTGTAAAGTATGCCCCCATTACACCTAGCCAGCAAAAGACAAAGAGGGGAGGGGTGGGATCCTATCTTTGGCGCT